GGTTAAAACCAATACTTGTACTGAGAGAACAAGAACGAATGTCTATGACCTGCTCTTGCATATTACACTTTGGAGAGGAATGTCTGAAATAGTCCCCCAAAAAATTTACCCATGTGAATCCCAAGCAGTTAATTGCATCAGCCAGCATATCTCCAAGGAGTGAAGGCCAGGAAGTTAGAGCTGGAAAGTAGGCATGCATGTGTGGACTTTGCCAATGGACTACCTAGAACAGAATTATRTATAAGTTAAGTCTGAAAATGTCACAAAAAATTCTGCATGAGATGTAGTGGTTAGTATCTGTTTAAAGTGAGGGAAAGGGATTACACAAATATAATATGTGCAACTGTACATCTGCTAATAGAAAGCTGCAGAGATAATATCAACAGGAGAGCAGCACTAGCAGATGATAAACTGTGTTATAAATAGATAAACTGCAAATAACAGCAAAAGCATTTATCTGAATTAAACAGGCAGACAAAGATTCTGAACAGGAAAGAATGTCGTGCCATGATTGAAACACCAGAGTCTGAAAGATTTATCAAAATATTTATCTTTATAAAGGGAATCCTTTCAACAAAGTTGCTCATTTTGTCAAACAACAACTTGCCTTTAGCTACACACAGCAATTTACAACTATATAAACCATTCTGTACACCTGAAGGAGCTTTGTGTGGGACACCAGCATAAGCACTGTATTGTGACTGCCTCTCCTACATCAGATCAAGTTTCTGCAAACATCTATAAAAAATGTGAGAACTGACTTTGAAAAAGCTCCTTACATAAAACCTTGGTAATAAGACCTTACATAAAACCTTGGTAATTTGGTAATAAGACCTCCCTTGGCAGAATCTGCAGTGTTTATGTACAAGAGGAAGCAGACCTTTAAATTCAAAGGGCAGGAAACAAGTCTTGTATGTACATGAAGCTGGGCAAGAGTTATTTCATCTTGCTGTGCCCAAGTTTGCACATATCTGAAATTAAGATTATACAGTTCAGCAGGTAGAGACACTATGAAGCTAATAATTTTCTCAGACTRATGAATTTGTTTCTCTATAAGCACACGTGAGTTATATAGAAAGTACTTAAAAAATACATTCACCCCTAAAATTATAGTTAGGAACTGTAMCATAACTGCGGACATAACAGCTATAAGATTTATGCTACATTTTTTGGTACTTCACATATTTAGAACAATGTTCTGCAGAATCTGTGCATTCTCRGGATTTGGTGTCCACCCCAGCTAGTATTGGCTTTTTCTTGTCATGATTATACTTTATTTCTTACCCCTGGCATAATRATCTTCTCTATATCTCCAAAGATGTTGTCCCAGCTGTCTGGGTCCGTTGGGGCACAATCGGGCAGCTGGGCTCTCATGTAACCTGGCTGTACATCAGGAGTCACCCGTCTCTCTCTCACATTGCTCAGGTATTGGCAGATGTAATCCACCATCTCTTTCCCTGGAAGAGGCAAACCAGTGTTTTGAGTTTCGATTATGGAAAAGCTAACTAGCAGTGCCAGTACTCCRCATAATCTATCATTAGCATTGGACAGAGATTTCATTAGTATTGGAATACTGCTCCCAGCAGAGCCACTGGAACTGACCTCCCTCCTACACCCTACTAGTCCCATCTAATGATGTAGGGACAYCATTTCTAAAGGGGGTCACAGGTTTTTTTCAGTGTCATTGTTGAATAGTTCAAATATACCTTTAAAATACAATCATGGTACAAGTAGTTTGTTCAGTTACTGAAAGGTTAGAATTTCTTGTCTACAAATTAATTGAAACTGCATTTCACAGGAATTTTCATAATGTCCCACACTTTCCTCTCATTATAGCATACCCCCCTTTTGYATCCTCTGAAATCAGCTGCATAGCTCCACACTTTTACTCCACTTTTTAAGGCAATCTCCTCCAGCCCTGGAACCAAAGTTGGCTCTCCATCTCCAGAACTGTCCAAGTATCAATGCAGTCTCATGGTATCAGCCAGCGAAGWGCCAGTGTGCGTAACCTCTTAGCAMAAGTTCATTCACAATTACAGTTTTGMAGCTTTGCCATAGCATCTTAGATGTAAGACCAAAAAGCTAAGTTATCCACAGACTCTAAATCCATTAATTTAAACTCAACCTTGGGACATGATTTTCCCTCAGCAGATCTAAGTCTCATGGACAAGTCCACAAATAGAGTATATAGCCCATCCTAATTTTGGGTACCACTCACAGCCCTACAACTGTTCATCTCCATGGGCAAATGCTACCTATTTGCAAGAGCCAAGATCACTCACCTCTCTGTCTGTACTCCTCAGGCTCCATACTGATTCTTTAGAAATGCACCTCTTCCAGCTTGGGCCACAACCTTTTGGGAGCTGTGGTCAGTTCGGTCTGGTGCCCTGCCAGGTGCCTCCCCCTTTATAGCTCCCTTTATCTCTCAGACTCGCGCATTCTGGAAAAGGTTTAGCAGGCAGGTTATTGGTGAGTGTTTATCTAACTCCTCCCAGCTAAGGGTTTTTACAGTCTCYCATGTTCTCATCTGTGCCCTTTTGATGTGTAAGATAGTGTATCACTAAGAGGAGCTGCTTCTGCACTTTCCTATTTTCAATCAATCTTTCAGAAGTCTCACAGTAACCCATGCCATAAATATAAGGCACATTAACATGAGACGTGGTAGAGAAAAAGCTCAAGAGCTTTCAAAACCAGATAAAAGCTAGCAGATGTTATGCCAGCACATCCAGCTACTGTGTCAGCAGCAGCCATTAAAACAATGAAACTGGACATGGCAGAGACTTTTTCTAAGAATTGTTTTGAGAACTCTTTTTTCCCCAAAAGAATATACCTACATCCCCATGAGTCTKCAGCCCTTGTGCTGTCAGTCCCGTGCTGCTAGAAGGAAAGGCTTTACAGTCATTTTGCCAGTTCCAGAAGTACAATATAAAGCAGCAATGATTCTTTTGGTGGATTTCCTGCTCTTCAGATCAGAGCAGGTTACACAAACCAGGGTGATGTTCCTCCATGGATATCACCCTAGATTGCTGAGCTGGGAAAATGCATCTTATCCCCTCACTGTGCCTGCTTTTCTCCCACATGACAAGCATAAGCACTGGCATTTAGTCTTGTCTCTCCAGAATTCCTCCACATCCTCCACCTGGATTGTTCTCAGTCTGAAAGAACCGCCTTAGATATACCTGCTCGTTCCAGGTTTAGGACCCGAAAACACATCCTGACCCCTCTCTGGCAGCATGACCTTTGACAGATCTAAATGTTGAGTTGATCGACACTGCAAAGAGAGGTAGGACTTGGGGACTAAGCACCAGGAGAAATTATTTCCCATACCATATATGCTTGCTTATTTTTGCCATACCTTAGGCTCCTGTTTAGGACTGGCCCTGCTGGAGACAGAATGCCAGGCTAGGCAGACTCTCTGATACCTGACAGCAGTTTTGTTATTCCCCTCACACAGGAGAAACCTGGCTGCCAGAGCAGATTTGATTCTCTGTCCCATGTACTCTACTGCAGCACAAGCACTTTAATACTTATAGGAAGTTTTTACATTGTTCTCACAGCATACTATCTCCAGAACAGCATGAAACCTTTCCTAGTTTCTGCTGCAATTAGATACTTGAGAAGGAACTGTTTTATAGATATGACAAAGATGTTCTGACACACACACATCAGATTAACGTACAGAAATAAAAAACCTCCAATTGATAAAAAGGCATAGAGAGAAGTGCAAGAAACTACTATACACATACTCATCTGTTTTATCTCATTTTGCTCTGGAAACATTAGGAAAAAAGTAACAAGCTGCCCACAYGCTTAATAGGAATTTATGAACATCTCTTGGCCATACTACAAATGATCCCATAAGGGGGAACAAGGAAGGTAAGAAGAGACAGGCATCAAGCACAGGACCAACTCAAAAAGAGGCCAAAGTTCTCAAAAACTTGATTTTATCTCATGATAAGTGATTAACATGAATATGTGCATCTAATAGATATGTACATCTGTTCAGAGAGACAGATGGTAGCTAATTGCAATTATGTTTTTAATTTGGGATAGCAAATAAGGAACAATATTTTTAACTACGTTTTCAGAGCTAAACTATACAATGAATATTTCATGTAACATATACTCTGCATTTTAGCTCAAAGGTGACAGTTTCATTGGGTTGGTCTCTTGTTCTGTGCAGAAGAGAACAAACAGCAGGTCCTGTTCGAACTAAAATAAAATAGGTGATAATGAATTACAGGTTGGGTAAATATTGCTGGTGATAAATAAGGTTTTGTTATAGCTACGCTGCACTCAGAAGGGTTATGTTATGAACAATGAGGAATACAATATTTGCTCACAGGAAGCAAAATGAATAGAAAAGGTTCATTTCATTGTTTGCTACAAACATCTGTCGTCACAACCGTGGGAAACTCTCCACTTGGATGTGAACGTTACCACTATCACTGCTCAGACTAACACTGCAACTCCTATCATTATTAAGAAATCACAGAGATTACACTGTTGTTAAGTCTGTGGGATGTGAGGACACAGATATTATTTTGATCACGGAATAATTCAATTGGAGCAATGCCTAAGCAGCGCATTTCCCTTGACTAACTGGTTCCCAAATTTGCTACTGACATAATGGGTAGTTCCTGGAAAAGATCCCTAAAATAGAGCAATTTCCAGGTAATCACTGCACAAGATTGGTTTCAAGTTCTAGTACCAGCACGATGATATCCTAGAAAATAACTCTTCTAAAACCCACCATCACACATTCTTAATTTTCATTATCTTCTGAAAATTTTTAGATCAAATTTGCCAATCAAAATCAAATTTACCAAGTATTTAACGATATGAAGATATTTAGAATTTTTCCTAACTGCCAAATCTATAAACCCAAGTCAAATTTTGACCTGTTTGACAAAGTACACTACAATTCTTTCCCCATTCCTCCCTCCTACCATTTAGGGCCATTCTATGCCCAAAASTGTTTTCTCATGTTTTTCCAGATGTCTAACACAGAACAACCTTGACCCTCTCATTCACACACAAACCAACTGAAATTGAATTGATTCTACACTATATGTATGTGGAAAAGATATTTAATTGTAAAATAGAAAAAGTAGGCCAGAGTACAGTTTTAAGGGTAATTCTTCTGAGTACAGTATAGATAAACCAGACTTTTTGCTTAAGTTTATATAAACAATTCCATAAAAGCAGTGAACATGGAACAACAAAGCAAAGCACGAAGAGTTTTATCTTACAAAAAACGAATCTGCACAGTAGTTCAAAATTTAATGTAACACAGCACTGAACAATCTTAAGGCAGCTCAGTCTAAGCACAGGACTAGAAGCCAGGAACTCCTGAGATCCATTCCCAGGTGACCACAGATTCACGTGGTATTAAGCCAGTCATTTAAAACTCCCTTGTGTTGCACTTATACCAGTTATAAAATTGAGACAATAACACTCACTTACCTGCCTCAGGCAGTGCAGTAAGGGTTCTTTAAAAGATTTTACAATGCTCTGAAGGTGTAACGTGCCATATAAATTTTAAGCATAATAGATCACTGCACAGACACACACAAACACAATATCACAGTGAGGAACAATGATGCTGGGTAGGAAGAGCATCACTACAACATAAAAAAAATCCTTGTCCAATTGCATAATAAAAATGCAAAAGTCCGTTAAAAAAATGTATCACTGAAGTAATTTCAAGGCTATTGGGGAAGAGAGATCAGTAGGGATATTCTAAAATAGCTACTATTTGTGTTTCAGTGGAGACATTCTTTTCTATCCATTTCTGAACTTTCAAATGTTTGTACAGGAAAATTGTAAGACACAAGAAGTGAAGTTTCAATGCCTCCACTACCAAATTTTGCCTCTTAATATGCAAATTAAGATACTTTTTTGTTCTTCTTCATTAAAAATTACATTCTTCCAAGAAATATACCATCCACAATAAAACTGGCTGCTAGCTTACTTAAAATGACCTATAGGCTAAACATTTTTCTCATAATTTTTCTCATCTTTGMTGAAAAATACCTATGCAAGATGTATGTGTAGAAATTATAAAAACATGCAGCATATGTACAAACTGAAAAGTTTAAAAAATATTAGCTTCATATACATGTAAATCTACTTGGATATATCTGAAATTAAATATAAAAATTTCACCACCTAAAATWAAAAAAAAAAAACCAAAAAATGGTTTTCAGAGAATCTGAGACAACTACTTAAAGCTGTACAAAGATTTCCATCTGGAAATGTCTTATTTAGACAAGTTGTTTGAGGTGTCATCATGTAGAAATAACTGTTCATTAATTTTGTCACATAATCAAATTTCAAATTGTCAGCTTAAATCAACATCACCCTTAAAACTGTTCTGTTTTTCAGAAGTTAGATTCATACTAAAATCAAAAATTTCACAAAAACATTGGCTTTTCATGTTTCTGGATCCCTTCAAAAAGATTTATCAACTCATTTTGAAACTGTAAAAAAACCAACTATTTACAGTATTTCATTTTAAATACTTTTCACAATTTCTAAATTCAAGAGTTTTTATGTTACAAGAAATTAATCAGAGCTCACGGCTTAAGTCCAGTTATCAACTTGTAGCATCTTCTCTATCATGAAATCCCATGGCTGTACCTATATAGCGTACAGTTCAAGATTGTACTGCAGGTTTTTGAAAGTAACAGGCTTTGCAGTGTGTTCATTTTTTATTAAACAGCTTCTTTATTAGTCTGGAGGCGGTTCATTGCCTCTAACTTCTGCCGATAGGCCTCTGCTTCTTGTTCCTTCTTTAGAAGCTGCTGACGATATTTTTGTGCTTCTCTGTTTGCCTCATCCAGCTGTTTCTGAAGAGTTTCTCTTTCCTATTAGAAACAGAACCAGCAATATTTTGTCAAATAAGTATTAAAGACAAGTTAAAATGGCAAATACTTTTCCTTTACATGCAGTTCAAGCGTTGGGGTATCATGTAGAAACTGTTAAGTTCTTACTTGGGCAAACCTGTGTGAATGCTGCTGTGCAAATTAGACCCCAATTAGCACATCAGCCAACTCCCTAACAAAAGGCTGGAAGTGTGGAGAAAATAAACCCGAGTCTACTGAGCTGCAAAGGTACCACACAAGTCTTCATCAAAAAAGAGCTAAATAAAAGAAGTGGAAGCATGGTGATTAAATATTAACAAAATATATTAACATTTCTCCAATGATTCAATTCCTGTTGTTACTTTTAAAAACTGGAATTCCATCTAAGAGGATTGTCCCTTGCTGTTGTATTTCTAATCAGACAGTACAATGACAAACTGTTACCTACCAGCCATCTACACTAGAGAGTGTCAGCTGCCCCCCTGACCARAGCATAGACCTGACTGTTTCTAAACAGTGATTGATACTCTGCAATCCAGAGATCTAATTACATCCCCAAGGCTACAACATCTTTATGAATTAATAGGCAATTAGCTAGATTAGCTTTTTTTTCAATTTGAAAGCAGTAAGTAAAGAAATCCTTAAGTACCTGCAGAAATCCTGCATACAAAGTTTGCTGGGGATGAATATGAAACGGTTTCCAAGCAAAATAATATGGGAAATGCCACTTCCTCTGAAGTGGCCTTAGGAACTAAGAACRCATTTCCATCTCCAGTGATACAGGTACTGTAATTTTGTCTGATGTTGCTCTGAGCCTGATTGAAAAAGCAATTTGCTTGGCAAATAGTTTTGATCAAATATTCAATCAAATACCATTTCATTAAAGTGCATCATGCTTTTATGAGTAAGGTACTATCAGATTTAAAATCATTCTTTCCATTGTAGTTATTAAGTAGGAACAGGAAAGAAGGTTACCAGAGAAGCAAGCCATCTCACAGAAAAACAGAACTTCTCAAAAAACTGAGGTCCAGTGAAAATAAGTTGTTTTTTTTACCATATTCCCATCCCAGCAGTTCAGTATCACACTCCCATTTAATACATCTAACAGTTGTGAGAAGTTTTGACCCACACTCCCATAACAGCATCTATTCTTCACCTCTGATGCACTCACATATTCTCATGGCCAGAAAAATACAAAACACTCTGCCTCCCATCTACTTGCTACTGTTCTCAGTACTTGTCACAGTCACATTTAGCAGTCACATGTCAGCTGAATGTGCTGAAATACAATGACAGAGGTGGTCAGATCATTGCTAACAGCAGCACCTGTACAGCAAAAACAACAGGTGAAGGAGATGTTATTAACAGGTTATAAAGACTAGCTTGAACACAGAACAAACTCCAGTAAGTTCAACTTGATTTTCCAAGGGGCTTTAAGAGCTGAAGGCAGAAGGCTAAGGTTTCCTTCATTTGGAGCATATGCTAATAAAATGAGAGCTCATCTCGTTTTGCCTACTTATTTGAAAAGRAAGTTCAGCTTCCACATCTGAAAATTTGGATTATGCTTTTAAAGCAACTTTATGAATGACCAAACCATGTAGCAACTAGACATGCTAAATGAACAGCAGARCATACACCTCAGAGGATCTGAAAAGCACCAATGATCCTCCAGCAGCAGCCCAGCCAAAACATACTGCTATTTCCAGAAGTTCTCTCTGKAATATGAGGGAACCAACAGCTTATGTAAAACAGCCTCATGGAGTAGAGTGCTGGTGAACAGAGCTACAAGACAATTCCCAGGTAATTAGTCAAAACAGTTGATCTTTCCACATGTGGAAAGCAGCCTTTTCTTTTTGAGGGCTGGGATGTACTGAGCTGGGCATTATTTATTCCATGAATTGGTCTCATAAAAACCATCAAAAACTAATTAATACTGGCAAGAAGCAAAGCTGCTCTATCTACTGAGGTGCTATCACCACTATGGAGTGTGTGCCCACTGTGGAGAGTGGGCACTCCACATTTGGGAGTGGAGAGGTTCTCAGACCATATCTTAAAGAGTACTTCCCACAGAAGCAGGAACTAGAGCTGTGTACCCATAAGTAGTATAGCATATTAAGGAAGAGGTAAGAAAAAAAACAAGTCTCTGTGGCACACTCAGATGATAAAACCAGTATCTATTAGACAGACTAGCAATTCAAAGCATATGGATTAATCCAGCAGCACCTAACAGGTGCAGTTTTTAGACTGTCACAGTCCCAACAAAAAGGATGAGTTAAGGAACTGAAGCCAACTATTCTATGTGACWAGACAGTGGAAGGAACCCAGTGCTTCTGGAGGAGCAACATATATCTACTGTGAACTCAACGGTAAAACTGGTTCCCTAACTTTGACATCTAGAATAGAGAGGACTGTATCTAATCTACCAATTTAATCAAACCCAGGAAGTGTTCTTGGGACAGTCTTTAGAACACAACCRAAAATGTTCTAAAGATCTGGAGTCCTTTCATATCAACTACCCATGAAAAAATCAAATTAGAGGATGCTCAGTGCTCTAAAGAAATCTTCCATTTTACCAGGGAATTTTCTTCATTACATGTAACTTTTCTTAACAGTCTAACCACTGACAATAGGAACACCTATAACTAAAAAAAYCAACCACTCTTTTGAACAACACAAAGACCCAGGATACAAATAATTCACAATTAGTTTACTATCATTAGTTTACTATTATGATTGTTTTTTAATCTAATGAAATGATTGTCCTGGTTCTAATGCGTGTCACTTTTCAAACATGCAACACTGGAAAACAGTAAAATTAAAGAATGAAAATAAAAATCACTATATGTTAATGRATTATGCATGAAAATGAAAAACAGAGTATCTGTGTGACAGGTTTTTTTTTGCTGCCATCCCATGTTTAAAATATCAAACTGCTTAGGAAAACTGCTGTCACTCTTCAAAATGAGCTGAAACGTTTGAACTTAACAGACSCAGAATAGAAAATTTAGCTTTAGTCGTTCCACAATACTTTCATAGGAAAGTCTGTCACCTCTTATGGTTGGGAAGATTTCAACTTAGAGAAACTTTTAAACTACAGTTAWCTGTTCACACACTATGAATTTAAAACAGCTGAAAAAAGCATTCAGCCTTGAATCAACTCTTTATAACAAAAATTGAGGAATGAATTAGCATAAAGTAAAGAAAAGAAACAATAAAGGTTTCCTGTATTTCCACATTCTAAAGTATTTTAAAAATATTTCAGTGAGGGGAAGGGTCCCACTGTCTCCAAATTCAAGTATCTACCACTGTCTGTGATGAAGAAATCTGAAGTGAACCAACTTTATGAGCWCTTCTTTAATGCCACTGCTACTAAAGTAGCACCATACCCCTGCGAACCACAGTAAGGCCCCTAAAGTCAACTGRCCTTCACACAGAGGCAGAGGTCTGCATGTGCCTTTCCAGTTGTACATGAAGGGACAAGTCAGTCATCAAAACTTCCACTTAGAAGTAACACATCTAAAACAATTCCTTCACTATCTGAGAAGTATGTTTAACATATATAAATCAAACTGGTAATCCCCTTAAAAAAATTATTGGTATTGTTATACCGATTATCTCTAATTAGGACCATGTCCATTCATCCCTTAACCAATCTGGATTYTTTAAAAATTCCCCTAACAGAATTACTAAAATACTTAAGGAAATATAATTTCCTTTATGAATAATTCAGGCAGATTTTTAAAAGTGTGAACAAAAGAAATGCTTTTATTGTAACAGTCATACATTTTAAAAAATGCAGCAAGAAAATTTCAACTGTCAGGATAATCTGTAATGACCACAAAGCTGCAAAGGCCAAAAGTAATTGATGCAACAACTTARGGACATGGAAAGCAAATGATGAGAAGTGGTAAATATTGTTATTAGACACAGATAACATATAGCACATACTGTACAACAAAAAGTATTCAATTAGGCACAATTTGATAATATGGACAGAAGTTGGAGAATACAACCTTTGATAAATGAAATATCATGGARCTGACAAAATGAGAACTTACAGTCTAGTCAAAGCAGACAGCAATTTTCATAAACTTTTGACCAAAACYGGTCAGCACAGTTAAAAGTAACAGAAAAAGGAATGAGATGGTTGACCTTTTGTGGCTAGTATAAAAAAAGCTACGATTTTTAATTGAACAGCTACAGCCATTTGTCATATAAAAAGGAAAGCGCTCTCAACATTTTTAAGTCTTTTGCAGCATAGTTTAAAAAAAAACTGGATGGTGCAAAGTCATGTAATAGAAAACCGCTGTGGAATAAAAAAAAAGGCAGGGGATGCCACACAGATAAAAATTAACAAACACAGAATCTTACTGTTTCACACTTCCATTAACAGTTATCTACATACCATGAATGGAAAGGAAACATTACTAAAAATGATCTCATCAGGACAAGCATGTGGCTGTAACAGAAAGATGAGGGTACAATGCTCTCATTCGCTCCTAGCGGAAAGAGTCAAGTCGCTCGATAATATATCAGTACCCAGTTTTAAAAACCAGCAAGTGATCTTCAAGGAAAAACAAAAAAAAAAATGTTCTCACATACTTAAGTATCACTTTTACATGCATGACCACAGGATCAAGCAAATAGGCCTCCTATTTTCTTTTTACAACAACTTTGTAAAAGATTAATTTCAGTTACAGGAGAAACTGAACAAGTTAATAGTTTCACACACTTCATTCTGTGATAACACAGAAATTAACCACCCAAACAATACAAAAATCACAACCAGATACTCAGTCCTGAACACKGTTTAACACAGATCACGTAATATACTCCTTACTTCTATTTCTGCAGACTCCACACGATTTTCAACAATCTCAATGCACTGTCTCTTCACTGGTGGTTCTTCACTTATCACAGTTTCTTCAGCAATGTCTGTTGCTGGAACTGTTAACACTGAAAACATATTTATACATGTAAATACAGTTACTTCAAAGAGTATTTGCACTAGATAAAACTCGTATTAATTATGTAATTTTATTAAGAGCAAGAAAATTCAGAAACATTTGCTTATGAAAACACAACTATATAATAAAGTACACTATAAGATTAGTGAAAATCTACTAAAAACTTTAGTTGCTTGCATGCTACTAAAGAACTTTAAAATTCCTTGTTTTCAATGTCTCCAGTAATTAACTCTGGAGTATCACTGCCATTTTTCACAGAGTAAACAGACATGGCAGAGAAATGCAGCAGTTACCAGTCTGTCAATTCTAACTTCTGTAGCAGACCAACTATATAACATTTCGGAAGCAAGTACTAAATATAATTCTTGTTTTGTTTCRATTAATACACCTTAAGTAATCTAAAAATCCGGCACTTATTAGCCATGAATAAGAAAACCAGCGTTCTCAGTAAATTCATACTTTTAATTCATCACRCAGCCATCTGACAAATGAACGTGAYTGTCACTTTGGTTACTATCTACACCCACTCACTCATAATTAGGTGTACTAGCTCTGAAAGACTGTGAACCAAATAATTTGCCTCCTGTGTACAACTCTTCAAGCTTCACACCAGGCATCCTCATGAAGAAACCATTTTTGTCTAAATAGCGGCAGAGCATCTTTAAAAGGATCCACCCAATGCATATACCCCCCCACAGTACTTCCAGCAAGGCAACAGCATAAGAATTAGAAGAAGGCTTTAGTTTTACTCCATCTTCTAGTAACAAGTTAGCAAAAATCAAACTTACTGAAAGCAAAGCCAGTTATCACTTTTCTCTTAAATGTCCCATTTCTCGTCCAATACAGTTTAGAAACTTTTCCATTCCCTCTCCTAAAGCAGAGACTCAGCTGAGTTGTSTTAACCCACTGAACTGCAGTGGTTTATATGTCTGAGCCTTCTCCAGCATAAGAATTCAAGAATATGCACAAAATTGTCCGAGCCATTTGCACCTAACAAGTCATTATGATTACTGTAACTAAAACAGTTTCTCAAGCTGGGATCATACAAGTGTGCACTCACCTTGCTGTCCATCTGGCATGGTCACAATGATGGGTTGCCCTATSCCACTGGTTGGAATGGAATGCAGGTTACCCAGCTGAATGCCATCCGTAACTATAGTAATAACCTGCTGACCTCCAGAACTGACCACTTGCTGAATGGCCCCATCCACAGATTCTGCAGTCACAACTTCTTCTGTGGCCACAACTATCAACAGATTAGTAAAGGAATTAATTCAATTTATAAATTWAGCTTTTATGATTTCAAATGCATTTTGGTACAGCTGAGAAAAAAATTCTTCCATRACTTTCAAAACTTGACCCCCCTAGATTAACACTTTACTATGTATTATATTTTAAATAGAGTMTTTCATCAGGCCAACATGAAGCACTCATATTTTGACATATACATGCAATGCCATCCTGGTCTACCTTGCTCAATAYAATAATATTGACATACCCCACTCAAAATTGATGCTTTGGGTTCAGGGTTAACAGGGCAGCAAGAACAGGAGCTGCTTTTAAGAACACAAATAACTTTTGCATTGTACACAAGCTGGACTRAGTCACACCAACTGCAGAATAAAAGAAAATTTAAAACTTGAAAYACTATTTTGAAACTACTTCTCAACCAATGCCTTGCCAGCTCTACCTCAGGACCCAGCCCAGATTTCTCTCCTTAACATAATGGTCTTCAAGATAGTAACAGACTAAAGGACGCTTAAAGAATGTTAAAGTTATGTCTGTACTTCAAACACAACAATTTTGTTTATTATACGCAGAGCTGACATATTTACAGCTTTGAAGAAGAAAGATAAACCTAAAAAAGTAAAACAAACATTGCATGTATATCATTTTATAGGTAAAAGTAAAAAATTCCAGMTCAACTATCCATTTYAAATTCATGATGATCTAATTACGAATATAAAGCAGTMAACTCCCACACTTCTATATYACTTCTACAAATAAAGGTAAGATAMGGAAAGCTTGCATTCCGAACTACAACACATACCCCAGCTGGCACTGTATGCTGCAAATGCTACCATCCTTTTTTAAAACACGATACTGAGACAAAGACAAATCACTGGTACCTCAATCAGGGAAATTCAAGGAACTAGCTCCGTATTTCATTTTCAATTGGTCAGGGTAAAAGCAAAGCCTTTGATTTAAATAATGAGCATCAGAGTGCTTTCTATCTAGAGATAAAATTAAAACCCTATAGGCTGTGTTGTGATGTTCAAGATGAGAGAAGATGGATAAAAYTCTGAAGCTTTCATCTTTTACGTTAATTACAACATAACATACACAAAAATCACTCAGTAGTTGAAATAATGACTGCAGACAGTGTCTTCTGAAGATTTTTTGTTTGTARAGATTATTGTCCTATAACACTGCTTAAATATTCACAAAGTTTTTATTCAGGAAACCAAAAAGGCAACTCTCACATGTTGTATTGAACTTGATTTGGTTTCCAAGTACAGACTCAGTAGCAAGAAAGATCACTGTCACAAAAAAGGCCAAGCTGCAATTGCCAATACTAGGTGCTGTGGCAAACAGTTTGCATCTTTCAGTTTCAAACTCAGAGCTGGGTTTTAGCTCTTGAAGGAAACACTGCTAGAACTTCTTCAAATCTTGAAAGAAAACTGGAGATTTTATCTAAAATAAAGCTACTCTATATAAAAGAAAAACAGCCCCATAAATATGGTCATTATTCCTTCCTTGCTCTCCTTCTGTATCTATACCCACAGAATCATTATTTACCACACTATTTCATGTGGTGAAGGAAGTTTGAAGTTAAGTACTTTTAATTTATTAAATTAGTTTAAGTGAGTTAGCTTTCTAACCTGGTGTTTCCGAAGAATTAGACAGTGGAGCTGATGCTTCTGCTAAAGCTGCCAAYGTAGCTAATACTGATGTTGATGAATTTCCAAACTGTACAGCAGACACTCCTGTTTCATCTAGAAGGATGGAAAAAAAATTAGCTGATAAATTGAAAACCAGCAAAGTTCTTTTTCCTATTTTTATTGCACTGAAGCTTCTAACATTCCATTTTCAGCAGAATTCTGCTCAACCGAAGTGCTATTCACGTTTGTTAAGAAAATAGAACTTCTGATAATTTATCTCTGTGAAGACTGTTGTTTTAGGCATGTGCATATTTACAATACACAAAAAACAAGGAAGAGAAACATGGTAGCTATTCTTACCACTGTTTTTCCACAAGCGTTTTCACTAAATGGTGAAAATCAATTATAAAATCCCAGTAGCTATCCTACAGGCATCTAAATACCTGTTCCATTGRATGTATTTGCAGAAGATACCAGACCTGTTAGGTTCACCACCCCTCCAGGTCCAATGATGAACTGTGGTGTTGCTGCGTGTATTGTCACAGTGTCCGGACTCTCGGGATTCGTATTGATTTGGTTCTGCATTGCAATCTAGGACACAAAGAGAAGAACATCATTCCCACTGCAGGTAAAAAGAAGTCATTTACCTTGAATAAAAGCTAGAATTATTGCACACTTCACACAAACAGGGAGGATCTCCCTCATTATACTCATGGAATAGGACATAATGTGTGTGTATCTCCAAGTACATAAGAAAGAAGATTTTTTTGGTTGAAATCTAAAGACAGAAAGTCTCTTGGAGTGAGAGTGTAACAACACACCACTACTTCTCCCTACCATTCATTATAAACAAAGATGACAGGGCCCTTTTGCAGATACGCAAGCTCACATACCTAAAACAGAAGTCTGAAAAACCAAGACTGCTGGGGCAGACAYATGTCATGAAAAGCTGCTCTGATAGCTTAGCAATGAAATGTATATAGCAGACCTTTTGACTCTCTATGAATTAYTATTAACTTCTATTTACTATACCCTTTCTGCAATCAAGAGGAGGCTAAAGGAACAAACCAGAAGTTCAGACATTTAAAGACATAGGGAAGCAACAGATTTATACAGTGGCACGATGGTATTTCCTTTGCTTTGCATTCTTTTCTCAATAAGACTTACTGCTTAATTTGCCTTTAACAACACTATTGAACAGTGAGCACTCACTTTCATGGAATTATCTATTATAATCCCAGTCACAATCATTTCTCCAAAAATTCAATTCTAGCTTTTCTACTTCTGGAAAAATTGGCATCTCTTCTCTCCTGTTTGAACTCCAATTGTTACGAAATGGATACCCACATATGAAGCTAACTGGACACTACGGTATACTCAAAATGTACTATCAGAGTAGGSAGTTAATTTTTTACACTTCAATTGTAAAGAGTCCATCTAGCTTTGTGTATTCTCAAATTTAAAAAAAATAAAGGATACTTATCCTTCACTTTGTAAGYGGTGAAAATGTTCTTTGGCCAAGTAATGTTTACTAACATTAATCTTGTTTCCATGTAATGAACTAGACTGGAGTTTGGCATTATCAATATATGGTGTCACAGCTGCCATATTAAAAGCTTAAGTTTATGACGTGTAAGCAAGGACTTTGCTGTAAGTTCCCTTAACATGAGGAATTAAAAGTTACCTGTAATATTTCTGCAATGTCTTCATTTCCATTGTCTACTGCAATATCTAATGCCGTTTTGCAAAATTTACTCTGAGCATGAACATCTGCTCCATACTTTATCAAGAGTTCTACAACTTCTTGGTGGTGATGTTCAGTAGCCCAGTGAAGTGCAGTCATTTTGAGCATGTCCTTCGCATTGACATCAGCACCATGCTACAAACAAGATCATTACATAAACTATGTCATTAGGAATATCTGAATGAAATAATGCCGGTCACAAAATTAAGCCCAAAATTGCCTTTCTCCCTCAGAAACACTCTGCTATCTTACATTTACACATTTATTAAAAGCAATCCAATCTAACTACCAAATACACTATTTACCTCAAAAGGATTAAAGTTTCCCTAAAACACATCTTGCTTCTAAAATCTGTTACTAAACATAGTATCAAATTACAATGTGTTCTTGTTTTGAAACAGCAGTAAATAATTCACCTGAAACCATGCTGATTTTAATGCTAAAGTAAATTATAGTTCAACTGGAAAACAAAGCTCCCGATGCAGCTAAACGATTCATATAATTTCAATGTTGGTTTCATGATTAAAAGCAAATTGCAAATAGCTGATCATAAATCATTGCAATAACCCCACCTCAGACTGTTTCAGCAGTTCTTACCTTAAGTAAGACTTCTACTATGCTGGCATGGCCTTCCGATGCTGCCATATGTAATGGGGTTCTGTCCACTTTGGTTCTGGCATCCCGACTTACACCTGCTCGCAGCAACACTTCTGTGGTGGAGTAGTGGCCATACTGTGCAGCTAGATGAAGTGGAGATGTTCCTAACTGCAATGTAACAGAAAACATGCCGTTCTAACAGATGAACAGTATAACACATTTCTTTTTACTCTGAAGCTATCAAACCCAGGTGCCAATCCACCCCTTCAAATCCATTTTCCCTTTTAGACTCAAGGAAAGAAGCTGCTGGGGCTTTTACAGAAAAGGAACAGGGGCGGGAAGTTTGCTGTTGTTTTCTTTTTACTCTGTTCTTTCTGTCTTTTTGAAGTGTAATATTTCAAGGGGCCTAACCCCATTTTTACCATTGGTCAACAGGTACCTCTTGGAAGTCAATTAAATCCAATCTCCTGCTCAAAACAGAGTTAATTTGAAAGTCAGGTCACTAAGCAGATTAAGCTCTAAAGAGCTTGTAAATGCCCTAGGAATTTTGGGTACCTGACCTCTCTATATAACCTAGTCAAAAATCAGCACTGCCAAAAGACAACTCAATACTTCTGTACCAGGGAACTCTCGGCTGCACATATTAGGTAGTTAGGACTGATTTCATAATTCAGACCTTGTACTATATCAAATGCTTAAACACAGTAACTAGGATGGTTGCTGCTTTTTCCCATTAACCATTCCAAAGTTCATCTTAAAAGTCACCAGAATAAGCTCATTCACAGTCTCTTACTAAAATCAGTAGGAGGTCATCTGAAGAAACAGATGATTTTAATTTTGAATTCAACATTAGAAAATGTGACTGTAGGATTCCAAGAAGCATTTCAAAATAAATGCTTAATTGTAATAATACTATTTCTTTATTCAGRTGAGAGAAGTAAGACTATTTATTTTCCCCACTGGAAAAGTTTTCATTACCCAGTCTGTGGTAAAAGGTGCTCCATTTGCCATCAAAATGCGAACTTCATCATCTTGACCTGCTCGTGCAGCTTCTAAAAGTTTCTTTCCCAAATCTACTAGTGACATCTAGTGAAGGACATAAATGAATATAAAGACAGTAACATTAGCACTATTTTAAAGTACATACATGTTGCTTTATTTTTTATGAYTATTTCTGAACTACTCTGAAAAGTTAAAAAACTGGAGTTGGCRTTTTAGCCATTAGAACAAGCCTTATTGATGGCAATAAGCAGTTTGATTTTAGAATTACTTTTGCCAGCCAAACAGAACTGGTATGTGGGTGAATCTTTCTTCATTACAATGCTGTAACCTCAGTAGCTGTGAAGTTAAACAAAATTTAAATGGAACTGAATGCACATTTCTTCTAGCAGAAGGTGGTTTAAAAGGTCTCACCTGAYACTGCAACCTTCTGCAGCTTTGTCCAGCTTTCAAATGGAACTACACTATGGCTGCCGTGTCATACACACAAAGGCACTACACCCACYTATACAAAATGCCTACATGTATTTAGGAAGTACCACTATGTAAATGCACGGAGATAGACACGAAACACACCTTTCTGATATCTTGTCTGTCACTGCTTTTGTTCACCCTAAAATATAATTTCTGCATTCCCAGCCGCAAAATGATGCAATAAGCATATTATTGTGCTACATACATCAGATATATGAAATAAACCCTTTGCCTGAAAACAAATATTCCTACCTGCTTTAACTGTCTGCAGTTACTAAAAAGATGTTAAGTGCAAACTTCTGAGACATGACTGAGATACCCGTTGAAAAACTTTCACATCACGTCCCTTTTACGCCAAAGTTTCATATAATACTTGCAATAATATATGTAGATAAATTACACCTAACTCTTTGTGTTGCATCACAGATTTCCTAGAAACGCAACTTTTTAAACTCACCCCATTTCATACTTGCTATTAAATTTGTTCAGTAAAGTAATTTAGAACTAAACCATAACTTATGCTTAACCAAAATATACTAACATTTTAGTATAACCTATAGCTTTGTTTTCCACTACCAGGATGCTAAAAATGGAATTGCTTTTATCAGTTTAGTYTCCACTCACAAGCAAAGTTAAGCCTGTATTACTAATAACAGCRGTTGTGGGGCCATACAGCCAATATCTACACAAAGTGAAGAGTRTATCAGTTCAGGAAAGAAAYCCCATTAAACATTCMAATCTATCACAAAAACAATAYATTTAGAAATTTCTCTGTCCCTGGCTCAACTGGCACATTGCTCAATAAACTGAAAGCTATTGACTTTGGAAGAAACTAGAAAGGATACCAAAATACTGCAAATKCAGTACTCAACACATATCCGTAGGGCCATGAACTAGAGCAGATTACCTCTTTGTCTACCAAACTGAATGCAGGCAGCAATATCCCTGTCACCAAAATACTCTATTTATGTCCATCCTCTTAGTRCACATGGACACCTTGATTTGTCTCCAGCCCAAAAAGGGAAGAGAAGCAGGATGTTGGCAGGACAGGACAAATACTGACCATGGGAAAAGGAAGGAAAAAAGGGAGCACAGTCAGATGCAGAGAAAGGGACAACTGCTGTCTCTCTTCCATAAAGAAAAGGAGCAAAAGAGAAAATCTAGGAAAGATCCTAAGGAATGGAATAAGAAAATCTTTYGTATCTGCTAAAGAGACACTGGAAGAAACAATATAAAACATAAGACAAGAGATGGCATTTAGAAAGTGCAGCAGTGAAATGAAGGAATAGAGCAGTCCCTTTACATAGCTTTTTCCCCCCCAGTGGGGATTACAAGTGAAGGAGGAAAAATATACACACAGACATCCTTTTTCTGGTGGTCTCATACCACCATATCAAGGCCCTCAGAAGAAAAGGAAAGCTGGAACTTAGTTCAAAATACTGAAGTTATTAACTAGTTCAGAAAGATAACTATCCATTTTGCTTATTTTTGGTTTAAACAGTAGTAGAGCAAAGGAACTAATAAAATCTCATTTTGGAACTGCAGAATAATTAAAGCTGAAGGGGACTTCTCAAGGTCATCCAGCTCAGTATCCTAGTCAGAGCTGGCCCAGGGCTCGGTCCTGTTGAGTTTTGAATGTCCATGGATAAACATCCCACCRCTTCTTCAGCCTCCTTCCAGTRYCCAACCACCCKMAGGGCAAGAGCTGCCTTTGGTGTATACCTGTCTTCTTCCACTAGCCAAAAAAACACTCATKTTAACAAGCTTACACTTGATGTCTCCTAAACAAAAATGGGTGAATTATTCTGTACATTTAACACCCTATTCAGAATCCACTGACCACATCTATGCACCAGTGAAATTAACTGCTAAGTCGTTAGGAAAACCCTATGCAATAAAAGTCAAGCCACCCCCCAAAAATATCTGTTATGGTGGCCTCAAAATACCATTCTCACTCCCATGAGATGTTAGGGACAAACTTGAGGTAAACATCTTTTCAGAGCCTCAACCATTACCGTGGAGCACWGTCAGTGAAATCACAGCAGTTCTCTTCTCAATGCAAAACAGCTTTATACTACACTTGATAAAAAAATGTTCTMATCAAGGAAAATACAACATTATAGTACTACATATTGCTTGCATTATCCAACACTTTCTTGGTTGATATGAAGTGTTTGATTTTAAACAAGCACAAAAGCATTACACGAGTTTGTATATGCCTCATAATGTAGAATTTTAACTTCAGTTAAAAAACAAATTAAGTTTCAGTTCTCGTGGGGTAGTTGGAAGCATGCTTAGGCCATCTAGTGGAAAAAAAGAAAAAAAACTCCAGCAAAATTACTCTGTTCAACTAAAACAATAAAAATCCCATTATACATCACTAATGCACWAACAGCAGCAAATGAAGAGGCCTTTMTAACAAAACTCATGCACKTTTAGTCACTTTTAACCCATGAATAGTRCCACTCACAAAATTTCTCAAGAGTAGTCAACACAAAGCAAATTTCCACTTGCCAGCCCATTCCAAGGACCAGTGCTGCAAGAAACCCCTGAGTAACAACACACCCAACTTCCCCTACACCCAACCATTGTACTGGGACAAAGCAAGAAGGGGCTGCAGTGTCACCATCTCCCATTCCAGAATACCTTTTCAGCTGCTCTCTAGAGTTCACTCAGTAATACTACAATAGTACAGTGATACTAGCACAAGCAAAGTTCTCTATATGTAATACAAAAATAATTTAAAATTGAAATGAGATTGCCATTTCAAAGAGCTCTCTGCTGCTACTCCATAGCGTTAAAATCAACTCTGTTAGAGCCAAGCTCTGTTAGAGGGTTTTCTAACTTTGTCATTTCTATCATGTTCTGCTAGCATGACAGCTGTATAACACTTTACATGAGGACTTTTTCAGGGAATRAAAACATCACTGGATCTGAAATAAAGTCTTGAGACTGTTAGAGTTATTCTCATGGCAAWGTGATAATGTTTTCAGACTTCTAAGAGCTCCTACACAATTGTGTGAAGAGAGGGTTTTGTCTACAACTGAGTGAATAGGGAAGAGCTTCTGCTGGCTTTAGACTTCTCTGGATTAATCAYCTCCAGAACTTCCACATTACTGCAATGTATTCTGCATAGTATCACTAGCCAGATGGCACAATTAACTGGTAATTAAAACCTGCATCAAATTATTATTGCTATTTCACTTCTGTTCCAAAGATTATACTTCTTTTTTGCAACCATCTTAGGTTTAGGTTTTTATACACTCCATAGAACCCTGGAGACAATACTGTTACCAGAAGAGTATAGAATAGCACCCGACAGGAGTTTAGGTGGAACTATGTGTGAAATAGGTGAAAATAGGTGAAAAGAGGTGAAATAGGCTCCATGGGAAGCAAGTGGAGCTGAAAACCCTACAACCTGGGATGCCTGGGCTACCACAYCCCAGTCTACAGACAACAGAGCAGCAGAGTCTGCAGTTCAAATTAAGTTTGGCTTAAAACATTGCTGCATCTCTGACTGGTTCCTGTCCCCAGGACCCAGCCTTGTTCCTCTTCTATCTCTGCAGTGCTTGATCATCAGCTGGTGAAGAACAACAGACACAGATCAGCTGCTGCAGAACATCTGCCAATATGGAGATCTCCCAGCCCCATGTTTGTCCCAATGTACACTCCTGAAGAGACATCCTTACACTAGAGGAGCATGGACTGCAGCAGTGCAACTTACCAAATCAATGTATGTCCTCTGTCTAATAAGGATTTGCAATCACAAAGTTCCATTAAAGGCTCATTAAACACTTTTCCCTACATCAGTCTGGACACATGGCAGAATTGTACTTAGAAGATATCTGGAAACCCATAATCTCTCACATCCATTATATCTGGTAAAGAATGCTCTTTCAGAATGTCTTTTTCTTGCCACTATTTAAGAAAAAATTAACCTGCTTCCTCAGACCTGACCTTCATAAATGCCATCACCCTACTGATTTCAATACCTCACAGTGTTGCTAAAAATTCAGAATAAGCATTTCTATCTAATTTTATGTACCTATCCATACCAAGGTCAACAATATTTAGAAGTACAGCATAGAGTAGTTAGCAKCTCTTAAACACTYWGACATGATTTTACCGCACATATCARTTAGCAGTGGTTATAGCAACTTACATGGAATAAACTCAAAAAGTTCCTGTACTGTTTCCTACATAAATCAAACATCTTTTGACAATTTCACGTGATACTTCAAAYCTTATTAAGTATCATAGGCTTAGACCATCCACATTTCTATCATGATAGTGAAAATTACACCAATATGTTAATTGCAGTTAGCTTTAATTCCACTGCTTTCAGCTTTCCWCTATGACTGTTGTAATTAAATTCTCTCTAGTTTGTTTGAACAGCAATGTGACCCTCATGTCAGACAGCATCAGATGAAAAATACCTGATCTGAGAAAAGCAAACATACTTGAATAGCTTAGTGGAAAAGACAGCCAGGCCTGTTGTTAATGCATGTCTGTCCTCCTATTAGGTTCACACAATAAGTAAAGCACCAATCAACAATGAACTCGATCAAGTAGCAGAGATTGTAGAAAAGCCTTTTCTTACAAAGAGCAGCACAGATTTGGCCATTATCCGTATCATCTGATAAGTTTTATTATGTGACAATGGTGAACCATTGGCACCAAGATTTGGGCTGACACTGCCAACAAGCTACAGTTTTCACAAATAAATTCGGGACTAGATACCAGAAAGGTTGATTTACAGCAGCTGTGATTGACATGAAGAATCCAAGGACTTGTGATGTAGCCTTTGAACTGTACCACAGCCTTAAGAGGCTGTCTCAGGTTAATTAAACTTGAAAATATCATCAAAGAAAAATTATCCACCTTCTACCTACAGCATCCGTTTTATGATGAGGAATCTTCCTCGACAGTTTCTGTGTAGCACATAGGCCTAAAAAAAAAATCCAACTAGAAAGCAAAGTGTTTGCAGCAAAGAAAAGTGGGTCACGAACGAGAGTCTCTATCTAGTATATGCTGATTTGCCACATACACTCTTAACCTTACTCACATACACTCTTAACCTTACTCACATACACTCTTAACCTTACTCACATGGCACACTTAGGTTCTCTTACAAATATTTGTGCATACAAAACTCAGCTAGCTGCACAGTCTAATAGTTCAAAAATAAACAAAATAAGCTAAAGAACTGCAGGGTATGCATTCAAAACTCTGACCACATTTAACTCTAATATGAAGCATTTACCGTTAAATCAAAGCTAACCTAGTAAGGAGGTTAAAGGAAAATACATAAATGCCTTAAGAACGACCGCATATGACTTCCTATAGGGGATTTCACCGACGTGCCACCAGTGTCCCACCAACGGAAACTACTTCGACTACTTGGGGAAAACAGAAAAAAACGACAATCTGCACTAATACATCGTATTCCACTTTTATGCTCCCATCATACGGTTTATTAAGAGTCTAAAGCAAGAGTTACAGACTCCGGGTGAGGGGCACCGCGGAGGGGAAACCGCTCCCTTCCCGCCCGAGCCGCCTCTCCCCAGGGCACCTTTGGCGCCAAGCTCGCGCACGCAGCCCCGCCGCCTCAGGGGCCCGGACCGCGGCCCCACCGGCCCACCCAGCCCACACGGGGCCCGGGACCGTCCCCACGCGGCCCACATCGCGCTGCCCGGCGGGGAAAGCCTCGGGACTAGCCGAGCCCCACTCTGCCCCTCAGCTCCCGAGTCCCTCG